GCAACATTGTGCACAACCAGGAGAGAAAGAGCAAAGAAAGGTTTGGTACCAGTGGCAAGTAAGGAGAGCACCCGGGTTAACTCCCAAAGCGGTGTCTCTCCAAACAGAGGAAGCAAGGAGGAGACATCTGCATGTTTGTGCTGGAGCAAGTTCTCATCACATGTAGAAGCAGACATGTTCCTGAGCATATGAAGTTTCTTCCACATGTTGCATATTCTGTAATGGCAGATGGAAATACTTCTGGGGGAGATAATTTGCAATGTAAGGAAATCATAAGGGCATAGTTTACTCTTGGACGCCTAGAAGTTCTGGGCAGAATTTAGCCAGCTCTTTCTGGTGCTCTCTGGAGGACTTTATCTGAGACAAAGAAAAATGTGAAGGGATTTTAGTAGTCAGGGGCCTATTCCCCTCAACCACAGGGGTTTGACCCCAAGTTCTAACTTAATAGTTCACTCTACGTGCAGATCCTTTCTCATTGGAAAAGGTGCACAGTGGTGCATGCCTGAAGCAAGAAGATTGCAAATTCAAGGCAAACCTGAGCAACTGAATAGGACCTTGTCTCAAAACTAAAAACAAAATATTTAAAGTGCTGGGGGTGTAGCTCAGTTCAAAGGCCCTGAGTTCAGTTCCCAGCGCCGCTATAACAAGCAAGCAGGCAAAGCTGTACTGGTGTTTTCACAGAGAGCTCTGTCCTGCATGTGGGTGGGTGAAGCATCTGAACACCTAAATCAAAGGAGCCTTTAATTTACTGCTGAAGCTGTGTCCGTTAACAAGTCACCCTTGGGTTTACCAGGAGGCACATAAGGGTCCTAGGAAGCCCAACTCTGGAGCACACATTGCCCCTACCCCACTCCATGCAAACCCCAATTTACCCATTGCCCTACTGTGAGCTTTCTTTTTCTCTCTCTCCGCCCACCACGCTGTAGCCGAGGCAGTCCACGAGGAGCTGCTCACCGTGAACTTCACCATCAACAACCTTCGTTACTCAGCAGACATGGGCCATCCTGGTTCCCTCAAGTTCAACATCACAGACACGGTCATGCAGCACCTGGTCAGCAGCCTGCGACCCGCTCCATCCCTCCATCCCCACTCCAGGGCTCTTTCCTGTCTCTGACCAACACTGGCTCCTTCCTTCCTTTCCAGCTCGGCCCTTTGCTCCAGAGGAGTAGTCTGGGTGCCCGACACACAGGATGCAGACTCACCGCACTGAGGTGAGAAACATCCCCCAACCCCATGCTACCCCTCCTCTCCACCCACGTTCAGTTTAGGAGGACTGGGAGATCAGACTGTGGAGCTGGGATGAGCGCTTCATGTTGTCTTCTTGGTCTTTGGAATTCTTCATCTTATTTTCTTAGAAATTTCATTTTAGTGTATGTCTGTGATACATTGTAAATACATTCGTTGTAGGGAATTGGTAAAATACAAAAGGAATCTTGATCTTTTAACTTCCCATTCCCCTTCCCTTCCTCTCTCTTCTGTCTTCACCCTCAGATCTCCTTTCCATCTGCACAAAGTCATCTCCCCATTTCTTACCACTTGTCTTTATTTTGCTCTTTCAATTATACATACTTTGGGTTTAACATATAAGGGGAACTGCGTGACATTTAATGTCTGTGTCTGATTTATTCCCTTAGCATTATACACTTACGCTGCATCCATTTTCCTACAGATGACTTAATGCTCTACTTCTTTATGGCTGCAGTGTTACATTTTCTTTATCCATTCACCTGTTGGCCTGATATAGGCCATTCTCAGGATTTATCTGAGTTGTGCAGCTATAAACAAGGGATGCGTGCATCCCTGTAATATGCTGTCTTTAGCTCTTTAGGGAAGATACCTAGAAGAGATACAGCTGGGTCAAATGGAATTTCTATTTCAAGTTTTTGAGAAATCTCCGTTCTGGTTGCCATAATTTTACATTCTCACCAACAGTGTGCAAGACTTTGTTTTTCCCCCCCCCAACCTCACTAACATTTCTTGGTTTTGAATTTTTTATTCTTTGTGGAATAAGATAGAATCTCAGTGTTCTTTTGACTTGCATTTCTCTAATGGCCAGAGATGCTGAGTATGCTTTCATGTATCTATTGGCCATTTGCATTTCTTCTTTGGAGAATTATCTATTCATTTCACAACCTTCACTACTCAGCAGACATGGACCATCTTGGCTATCCTTTCAGTCCAGTGAAAGGATGGGGTCTGTCCACTCTCACCACTCCTGTTCAGTGTAGTACTTACCTTACTTATTTGTAGGCAGTTTAATATTATGTGGTGCTAGGGATGGAACCTAGAGCATTACACATGCTAGACAAGTATTCTACCATGGAGCGCCACCATTTAATTTTTGAAATATAAAAAAAATCTTATAATTTTAAGTTATACAACTTGATGTTCCAATATATGTAGTGAACTGATGACACATTCCAGCTAAATGCATCTCACATCTGTGTAGTTACCATTTCTGCATTCTTTGACCAACATTATCCCATTCTTCCTCCCAGGCCTAGGCAAACATCATCCTACCTTCTACTTCTATGAGTGCTATGTTTAACATTTTTGATACCACTTATAACTGAGAACATGCATATTTTTAACGTTTTATTATGAAAAATTTCAAATACATAAAAATAATAGTATATATTCATGTACCAGTTGTCTGGGTTCAATAGCCCATGGTCAACATTAACTCACCTATCTTTTCTTGCTGCCTCTCACTGTACTGAAACATATTCTGTGTATGTATGATAAATATTTTTGTGTCTATGTCCAAGGGATAAAGATTCTTTTTTCTACTAATAATTTCGATGATGTTGTCATGCCTAAAAAATAATTCCTTAACAGTTTTATAACGCCAGGCAGTGAGTGCTTACGTTTCTGTTCCCATAGATCAGCTTGCATTCTTTTGTGTTCATTAAGTACCACCGTTTTCATATTTTCATTCAACTAATACAGCTCCACTGAGGCAGACAGTGGCTATCACAGTGACCAGGCAGACTTTTCCTGACCTCATCCACTAGAGAACAGATACTAGGCAGCAAAATAAATACTTAGGTAATATGATTTCAGATGGGATAAAGTTATTTGGAACACTAGTGAAAGCAGTCTTATCCAAGGATACTTTAGAGCTGTGCCCCAATAGCTTCCTGACCAGGAAAACTACCCCAGGCAGAGAGAACAGCAGGAACAAAGGTCCTGAGGTGAGAATGAACTTGTTTTCAATGAACAGCAAAGAGGGCGGTATGCCTGGAGCAGAAAATGTAAGAGAGAATGAGAGAAGGTGAGATTTGAGATATAAACAAGGTCCTCACTGTTTAGAATCTTGGAGGTCTTTCTTGTCTTGTAATTGTAGTAAAATATGCATAATTTACCACCTGAATTATTTATCTTCTCATTTCCACGATGAAATACCTGAGGCAATTAATTTATAAAGGGAAAAGGATTTATTTCTGCTTGTGGTTCTGGAGGTTCCAGTCCAAGATGGCAGCCCCATTGATTGGGGCACACCATGATGGGAGCGTGTAGTGGAGCAAATCACTTACATAAAGGTCAGAAAACAAACTAAGTTGACTGATGTGGTCTCAACATCCCCTCCTGTGACTTCAGGGCTTCCTATGAGGCCCACCTCCTGAAGGTCCTCAGCATCACCCAATTATGCCGCTCAAAGACTAAGCCTTTAGCACATGAACAACTGGCAGACTATAACCCAAGTCCTAGTACCATCTTAACTACTTTGGGGTGTACAGATCAGTAGTGTTAAATATCTTTACACTGTTGTGCAACTATTATCACCATCAACCCCAGAACTTTTATCTTCCAAAACTCTGAAGAGTTCCCAAACTCAGTCCTCATTCAGCACTAATGCCCTCTTTCCCCTCCCCCACCCCGCCACCCCCCAGTCCATTTCCATTATGTAGTAATTTGATGGTTCTAGGGACCTCCTATGTGTGGAGCAATACTGTATTTGTCTTTTTGTAACTGGTTTATTTGGTATGGAGATTCATCAAAAAACTAAAACTAGAAATTCTATTTGACCCAGCTATTCCCCTTCTAGGGATCTTCCTGAAAGACTTAAAGACATCATATTACAGTAATACACGAATACCCATGTTTATAGCAGCAGAATTCATAATAGCAAAACCTTGGAAGTGACCTATATGTTCATCAACACATGAATGGATAAAAAAGTGTGGTATTTGCCCACAATGGAGCACTACGCTGTCATAAAGAAAGCTAAACTTGAGTTATTTGTGGGAAAATGGGTGCACCTTGAGACAATAATGTTATGTGAAGTGTGCCTGGGAAGTAACCCAAGAAGGAAGGAAGGAGAGAAGCTTCCAGACAGAAAAAGTACAATTAGATGTAGATGCAGCGAATGGCCCAGTAAGACCAGGAGGCAGGCCATAAGGTGTGCAGTGGCTACAGGTGGAGAGATGCCAGCTGGTTTCCATTCCCCAAGAGTTCTTCTCTCCCTCCCCAGGTCTGTGAAGAACGGTGCCCAGACACAAGTGGACATCCTCTGCACCTACCAGCAGTCCCCCAGCAGCCTGGGTCTGTCTGCCAAGCAGGTATTCCATGAGCTGAGCAGGCAGACCCGTGGCATCACCCGGCTGGGTCCCTACTCTCTAGACAAAGACAGCCTCTACCTCAACGGTGAGTAACCCTCAGTCCTAGCTCCCCAGACCCCTGCAGCCCCTTAGTGTGCCCAGTTACCAGTTCATTAGGGGTCGACGGGATTCCAATCCTGCCTTCACCCACGCAGCTCTCACAGCCGTCACACAAGGCTAGTCCTTGGCGAATCTCTTTCTGCAAGTGAAGAAACTGAGGCAGAGATGGGTTAGGTCAGTCTCCCAGGTGGGCACAGCATGAGCCTCCGTTTTCGTCCTCCATTGTCAGGCTCTGCTCTGTGCATTTAACTCACAGAAGACTCTGCCTGGAGAGACCACAGGAGGAACAAACATCTGTCCCCTCATTCTGATTTTTCCTCACTCTTCATGACTGATACTCTTGGGTGGGTCCCCTGTGCTGGGAAGGAAGGCAGGCACTCTGAAACCTAGGCATCTGAGCTTCGGAAACACTGGACACTAGCACCCGTGTTGACTCAGGAAAGGATGGAGGTAGAAAAGTCACTCCCTGTGTGGGGCTGCCAGAAGCAAAGGGTAACCATGGAGAAGTTCATCAAATTGCTACCCTCCCCATCTCTTGTTCCCAACCTGAAAAGGAACTCATACGCTCGTCACAGTTGCCCCAAGAAGTAAGCAGGGAGACATTCTGGGGCTTCACTACTCCCATGTTTAAAAAGAGGGAAACTGAGTCACAGCGAGGAAAGGGGACCTGCCCACACTCAGTAGGTGTGCGGCCAATCTGGATCTCGATATTCTGACTTTATATCTGGTCCCTTTGGTTTGGCCATTAGAAGGGCTTGTGTAGGATCTTCTCCGACATAAACTGCACAGATTATGTGATGCATTTTGTTGTCCAGTCAGGATTCATCAAGCATGTACTATAATCCTCACCTTGTAGCTGGCATCAAAGTAGAGGTAACTTACATATGTGAACTGTACTAATATAAATGCCAGTGTGGCAGAGACTGTTTTGTTCAACACTACCCCAAATATAAATGGACCCCTGGACATAATAAATGTTTATTAAATATCCATTGGATGGAGAGGTAGATTGGAGGTAGGATGGAAAGGCAGAGGATGCCTGGATGGATGTAGGTGTAAAGGAAGAGAGGTGTGGGCATAAATCGTACGATAGCTCCTTGTCGGGAGCCTCTTGTAGATGTGGGTAAGGAAGAGACAGATCTGATATCAGGAAGTTATTGTTCATGATGATATTGAAGACAAGTCCTAGAAAGTGAGTTAATGTTTACTAAGTACACACAGGGAAAGTTACCCAGGCAGAACTACACATGGGCTAAGGCATGGTGAGAGCATGGTGTATGGGGCTGTTCCTCCGCCTTCCTTTATGTGTGACTTTTGTTTTTCAGGTTATAATGAACCTGGTCCGAAAGAGCCTCCCACAAGTACGTCTCTGCATGCAGTGCCCCTTTCATTCCCTGGAGCTCTTTGGCCAAGCTTTTCTCTTCATTCATGGAGAGAGCTCGCCACAAACTCAGGCCATCTCCTGAGTTGAGCTAAGATTTCAGTGAGCGGAAGAATTCTGAGTCCTTGGGCTGTGTTTGAACCTGCAGCCACAACACTGAATTTCTGCATTTGCCATGCTCCTCTGGGTTGGGGGTAGAAGTCTGAAAGTAAATTTCCTATGGGGTTAAGGACTGGAGTCAGATGAGGACCATGTAGCTTATGCCCCCTTTTGGCAAATCTACAGGAGTTTCACCAGGGGCTGCATTATCAACCTGCAAACTAGTGGCTACTCAAGTGGTTCTGACTAAAATTTCCCATTCTCTCATCTAATGGTCCACTCAGCTACTTTTCTAACCATCAGTTCTTCCATATCACCAGTTCTGCCTTTTCTCAGTTATCATCTTTCCAGCTCTCCGTTCATCTAAGTGCCCATCCATCCATCCATCCACTCATCCATCCATCCACCCAGTCTTCTACCCCTTTGCCTGTCTGTCCTTCCTCCCTTCTTTCTGTCCATCCAGCCACACATCTGGTTGCCCACCCCCCACTGTGCCCATTCACCTTCTTATCCTTTCATCTTTCTCTCCTTCCATCTCTACAACTTATCTTCTTCGTTTCTATTAATTTTGCCTTCTCTCTTGACCCTTCATTTATTCATTTTCCTTCTATCTATTCCTTCAACCCTTCAACTTCCTCCCAGTTCGTTCACTTTTCCTCTGTATTTTTCCTCTCTTGTTCACCCACTCTCATTTACTTGAGTCAATTTCAAAGGCTTGATCATGCCTCTACTCACACAATCACTCTTCCTCGCCGTCTGGTTCATGTCCCACTTATGAGTGGTTGTTCTGGCTTGGACCACAGATGGAGACCAAGTCGAGCTAAGATTTCAGTGAGCAGAAGAATTCTGAGTCCTTGGGCTATGTTTGAACCTGCAGCCACAGCATTGAATTTCTGAGTTTTCCATGCTCCTCTGGGCTGGGGGTAGAAGTTTGAAAGTAAATTTCCTATGGGGAACAGGGCTTCTCTTGCTTTGTGGAGTCTCTATCCTTCCCTCATGAGAATGCTTTCCACAGCTCCTGAGCCAGCCACCACATTCCTGCCATCATCAACATCTGTGCAGCCAGAAGCCACAACAGGTACCAAGGGACCCCTTTTCCTCCCATAAAATAATATTTCTTTGGAGAAGATGTCTTAGTTACTTTTTCCTTTTGCTGAAGAAAAATAGCTGACACCCAAAGTTAAAGGAGGAAATGTTTATTTCCTCATTTATAGCTAGCTCCAAGGCAGGTAGCCTGACAGAGGGTCATTGCAGAGAAGAAACAATTCAGGGCAAGCAGAAGGCAGCAAAGGCAGCAAGTGAGAACAACAGCCCTCTTTCTGTCCCTTGTATTCTACACAGGCTACATCCCCTTATGGATAATGGGAGAAACTTCCCATTATCCACACCCAGGATTACGCCCAACCAATCGATAGACTAAGTAATCCCACAGCTTAATCCCAGCATCACACACCTTAGATTTAGACACTTCTGAAAAGCTCCACCTATGGCCCCATGAGGCTTTGTGGGGACATCTAGACACAAGCCAGAACAGAAGGTGAAAGAGCAAGAGGAGGAGTAAGCAGAGGCAATGGAAGAGGAAATAGGGGAAGGGAAAGAGGGTTGGGAAGAGGAAGAATGAGAGGAGCTGGCTGTCGCATAAGAGCTAGGAAACCACGATGTGAAGATCATAGTGTCAGGGTGATCATTAGAATCACAGATTAGTCTAGCAATTTAGTCATATGCCTTCCCTCACAGAAATGTCATCTTGTAAAATAAAAAGGATGTCACAACAGAATGTGGGGTTGGGGAGTGCATGCTGGCACCATATGGAGAAGGGAGGATTTTCTGGAGAAAATCCCACCTGAACTGAGTCTTTCAATATGAGTGGAAGTGCTTCAGGCAGACAGGACATGAAGGGTGTTCCTGGAAGATGCATTTGCATGAGTAAATCTTCAATCAGCAGAGTGTGGTGTGAGGTTTGCTGGGAATTTGGTTTGCATGGAGCCCGAGTCTCAACTCAGAGTGTATGGATGCATGAGACTGAAAGGCCAACGGGAACCAGATTGGAAGGACATGCCACCCTAAGAAGCTCAAACGTAACACCGAAGGCCATAGGGAACGATGGGTGGTACTAGAGCAGAGTCAGTCCTAGTGAAATTTCCATTTCAGAAAGATTCTTGTGTTCATGAGGAGAATGTCCCTAAATAGAGAATCCAGTGACTGCTGTGGTGTTAGCCTGGGTCAGAGAAGATAAGACATGAGCTGGGACGGTGAAGGAGAGAGGATGCACCGGGGAACATTCAGCCAGTGGGACGGTATTACCTGGCAGTGAAGAAGCATGCACATTCTAACTTGGATGACCACACTGGTGGGGAATAGTGCTGCTGGGGGAGAAGATAACGGATGACGAGGGCAGGATTCCCATCTGGTGTCAGGCCAGTGCTCAGCTATAGGCTTCTCTCCTCCTCGCTTCCTGCAGCCATGGGGCACCACCTACAGACCCTCACACTCAACTTCACCATCTCCAACCTCGGGTATTCACCAGACATGAGCAATGGGTCAGCCAAGTTCAGCTCCACCGAGAGGATCCTACAGCACCTGGTGAGACCTTCCTTGGTCCAGAAGTCCTGGAGGAGTAAATCCCACCCACCCCCTCCATCAACTCCTGTCTTGCTGACCCTCCTTTGCCTTCCTCCCCAGCTCGGATCCTTATTACAGAAGACCAGCCTCGGCTCCTTCTACACAGGTTGCAGGCTAACCTTCCTCAGGTGAGCTAACGGCCTGGCCACTCATCAGCAACGACTATCCCTTTCTGTGATTACTGCTTTTTGGTCTTCCCACTGCCTTTTTTCTTTCTCTGCTTCTTTCTGGTTCCCACCCCCAGCCAGAGCTCTCAGAACCTCTCTACAGCCTCCGTGTCCTTTTCTCTCAGGCCTGAGAAGGACAGAGAAGCCACTGGTGTGGATATACTCTGCACCTATCATCCTGATCCCATGGGTTCCATGCTGGACAGGGAGCGGCTGTACTGGGAGCTGAGCAAGCTGACCCACGGCATCACCCAGCTGGGCAACTACTCCTTGGACCGGGACAGTCTCTATGTCAATGGTGAGCAGCAGCCATCTATGCTGGGCAGCATGGTAGAGCCCACATTCTACCCTTCCAGGGCTCCTGGACTCCTGTTCCACTCCCAACATGTCTTTCCTTCCCTGTCTCTATATCTTTCTGCAGGTTACACCCACCAGACTTCAGTAACAACCCCCAGTGGTGAGTACTCACTGACATCTCCTGTTCCCCAAGAACTGCCCCTTACATGCAGGCAAGGACACATCAAGCCCGGCCCACACCTCTAACCATAGGGGAAAGAGGGAATTGGAGACGGTGGTGAGTGGTTGTGCAGAAATGGATTTAGAGTGACCATTACTTATCTCTATTCTGTTTCCTGTCCTCTGTTAAAGAGTCTGCCCAAGGCCTTTCCCAAAGCACTATGTGCATGGTCTTTGCCATTGTTTCAGATAAATAGCATGGAATTCTTTGACCAAAGTAAAGTCATGAACTTTAGTTTTTTTAAGTATTTGTCTCTCACTCACTTTCCTCCAGTGTTATTGCGGTATAATTGGCAAGTGAAATTGTATATATTTAAGCTGAACAGTGCAATAATTTGGTATACGTATAATTTGTGAAAGGATGACCACAATCAAATTATTCAATACATTCATCACCCCGCATGATTATCACATGTGTGATATACACATGGAGAGAGAAAAAGAAAAGGAAAGAGAGGTAACATCCCTTCTTGAAAAATTTCAAGTATACAAAATGGTATTATTAACTATAACCACCATGCTTAACAATAGACCTCAGTAACTTTTTCATATGATGGGAACATTTTAAACATTTTGGTTTTGTTTTGTTTTGCTTCAGATACGGTCTCACTATGTAGTTCAGGCTGCCTTCAACTTGCTATGTAACCCAGGCTGGCCTCGAACTCACAGAAATCCTACTGCCTCAGCTTCCTGAGCACTGGGATTACAGGCATGAGCCACTATGTCCAGTGATTTTTCTTTGTTTTTTAAAATTAAATTTATTTTAACGATTAATGGGGTATCATGCAGTGTTGCATAGTACACATTTTTCTAATGTTTGAATCATGCTAAACCTATCTCTTCATAAATGTATCATTTATAGTAAAAACTTCAAAACTCTTTCTTCTAGATTTTTAAAATATACAGCACATTATTGCTGTCTGTAGTCATCCTATTAAGCAGTAGGATGTGACAACTTCTTTTTTTTTATTTTAAAAAGAAAAGGAGGAAAATATTAACAGACCGTCGACATTTTACAAAATAGCAAAGGATCAGTACAGACAGTACAGAGTTACAAACAGAGTGGTAGGGAATTAACAATGCTTGTTGTATTACATATTGATATCTTCAAAGTGGTTTCTCATGAAAACAACTTCTTGCTCCTTTCTAACACCTTCCCCCATCAGTCCATCTTATTCTCCTAGCCTTGGATTTACCTCAGTCTCCTCTCGATTTCTGTGAGATTGACTATTTTAGATCCCACATGGGTGAGATCACATGGTACTTGTCTTTCTGTACCTGGTTTATTTTCCTGATATAATTATCTCCAGTTCCATCCATGTTACTACAAATGACAGGATTTTCTCCTGTGCAGGACACTCAGTTCTATGTTGAATAAAAGTGGCGAAAGTGAACATCTTTTTTTAAAATTTACTTTAAAAATAAAAGAAGGAAAACCTATTAACAGACATCCATTTACAAAATAGCATAAGAACAATACAAGCAATACAGTGTTACAGACAAAGTGGTAGGAAATTAACAATGGTGTTGTATTACCTATTGATATCTTCAAAGTGGTTACTCAGGAAAGCAAATATAGACATGCAAGATTGATCAAATAATTAATCATTAACTGTTCCTTTCAATAAAGCAATAGAAGTCAGTAGTACAACTACGTTAGCTATCCTGTATATATGTACTTAGATAATTTCCACTTTTTTCTCTTCTCTTTCCCTCACCCCAGTTGTTCTTTACTTTTAAGCATTTTCCTTTGGTTTCACAATGTCTGTCATACCTCCTAATTTTTATTCACTCTTTCAGGTTCTTACACTAGTGAGACAATACGTTGCTTACACATGCAGGTCTGATTTATTTCACTTATGAGTATGGTCTCTAGTTGTGACCATTTACCTGTAAAAGTAAAGTGGATATCCTTGTTGTGTTCCAGATCTTAAAGAAAATACTCTCAACTTTTCTCTATTCAATATGATGTTAGTGGTGAATTGGTCATAACTGGTTTTTATGGTGCTTAAGTGTGGTAAAGACAGCACAGCTACTATTACTAGGATGCCATGAGAGCTTCCCCTTAGAAAAGGTGAATCAAGCTTGGCCTTCTGGAACAGTATATTATGTTCCCAGAATCATGCAAAGCACCAGGATAAGACACAAATATGTCAGACACAAGTCCCTTCTTTCCTAGAGCTCCATTTCATTGGGCTCCTGAGACTAAAACGAAGGTAAAAAGAGTATTCCAGAAAGTGAGGACTATATAAGCAAAAGAAGGAAAGCTCAGATCATGAGAACCCTTGTAAAATTCACTTTTGCCCTCTTTGGGATAACTTTCCACTCGAGAGCCCCCTGCATCCCCAGCTTGCAGGCTTCATTTTGGTGGATTCTAATAGTGTGAAGAAGTCTCCTAGGGTGCTGTGACTCTGTGAAGAAAACTCAGAGTCCCCCATCTGTCTCTTCTCCCTCTGTGTGGCCACAGGCTATGTAACCCAGAATGCATCCACCTGGAGTGAGTACCAGCTAAGCTTCCACATCCTCAACTGGAACCTCAGCAACCCAGACCCTGCATTCTCAGAGTACACCGCACTGCTGAGGGACATCGAGGACAAGGTGGAGACTCTTCTGCCTCCCGTCTGCCCTTCTCTTGGTATCTCCCTCACTGCTCCATCTGACTCACATCTATTATTTCAAGTCTTCTCTTTACCTATATGTCCCAGCTTCTCCAGAGTTCCAAAGAGTGGTACACTGGCTGCCTTCCCCATTTCCCACATGGTAAATCTGAGACTCAAGGGCATGGCGTGCCTGAGGTCCTGCAGCAAGTTAGCAGAAGAATCTAACTTGAACTTCAGTCTCTTTTGTTACAAAGCCTGTGTTCTTTCTTGTGTTCATCCCTCCACCCTAAGAGCCTTCTATCTCACCCAGCCTCCTACCCGTTTCCAGGTCACCATACTCTACACAGGCAGCCAGCTACAAGATGTCTTCCAGTACTGCCGGCTCACCAATTTGACGTAAGTTCTGCAGGTTGGAAGCGTTGTCTGAGCCAATGACTTGGCTCTAACCCTATGTGGCATATCTTTAGACTGGAGTCCCCAGTATGTTTCCCACTCCTCCCCACATTCCTGCCAGCCACACCTACAGGCTATATATTTTCTATAGATATCTATTTCTATAGATTTCATTGTAGGAAGTGGGTATTCTCCATATGGAGCCACCAAGTCCCAGCATCCACTTCTTTCCCCTGTTCCGGAAATGTGGGAAAAGTAGATTTATGAAGTAAAACTCAAAATACCAGCTAAATAATAAGTATTTACCATTGGCCAGGCTCCTCAATGAGCACTTTCATGTGTGATTGTCTTATTTAATTCCCACAACAGCCCTTGTGAGTGTGGACACAATGACCCCCTTTTTTGTTTAGATGGTCAAACTGAGTGTATTAGTCAGCTATAGGTTGCTGAGACAAAAATATCTAAAGCACACAGCTTGAAGGAGCAGAGATTTATTTTTATTTCATAGTTCCAGAGGGTTCAGTCTGTGGTCAGGATGGAGCCTCCAAGACAGAAAAATGGTGGAAGGGCATGGTAGAGGAATGCTGCTCACTTTGTGGCAGCTAGTAAGTAGAGAAAGACCAGAGACAAACATACACCCTTCCAAGTTATGCTTTCAGTAACCCACCTCCTCCAACCAGACCCCACCTCCTCATAGACATTCAGCTGTGAATTCATCAATGCATTCATTCACTGATGAGTTTAGTATTCCCATGACCCAGTCACCTCCCAAAAGGTCTGCCTCTGAGCACATAAGCCATTGTGCAGGTATCTCAGATCTAATCTGACACTGAAACATACAGAAGTGAATTTCTCAAGGACTCTCAAAATTGAGATTTGAACCCAGGTGTCTCAGAGCTGGGGGAAGGAACTAAGACATAAATTCCAGAGAAGACGAGGGTTGTTGAACACAGTGCTGACAATATTTCCAAACTTCAGTTTCTTTGTCTTTAACATTATAAGAATACCTCCCTCCTCGGCGATGACAAAGGAAGGTGTAGATCACTTCTCAGGGGGTCCTGATACGTAGAAAGTGCTTAGTGTATCTTCATTGTGGTTACTTTCATTGCTTCTAGCTTGAATTCCTGGAAGTCTTCCAAATTTGATCACTCTCTTCTCTAGACTGAGTGCAGAGGCAGCTAGGCAACCTCTACTTCCTTCCCCTAGGCCACTGGCTCCTTAAAGATGGCAACCTGAGGAAAGCAATCTTCTGGTTAGATTGCTGGTGGTGTTAACTGCTGCTATGCTGAGTGCTGTGCTTTCTGTTTCCGGGTTCCTGTGCTTTCTGTTTCTAGGTTAGACTCCAAGTTGGTCACTATCAAGTTATTTTTCTCATCCCATCTGAACCCCAACCTTGTGAAACAAGTTTTTCTAAATAAGACCTTGAATGCTTCATCCTACTGGCTGGCTGCCACCTACCAGTTGACGGACCTACATGTAACAGGTACGAAGTGACATAGTCAGTTTTGTAGCTGGAAGAGATGGCGCAATGAGGAAGGATGGGCCTTTTAGAGAAGCAGTGAGATGGACAGAGGTTCTAGCAGAGGAAGAGGGATTTCTAGAGTCCTGTGTTGAGAACCCCTGGCAATGGGTCCTCCAGAAGCAGCAGGAAGAGAAGGAAAATGTAATCTTGCAAGCCAGATAAATGGTTACTTTCGCATGCAAGCTTTTTTTTAGCCCAAAATGTGGAGGACTGAGAGTTGCCTCTGTAGGCAACTTGTGATGAATAATACATTGATTAGTTCACACATTCCACAAATACTTAATGAACATAAACAGGCACCAATGACAAAGTGTGACATTTGCTACAGTAAGAGAATTTCCAGAGCCTGTGGGAACCCCAAGAGGGGAGACCCAGCTCTATCTTCAAAAATTCCCTGTAGGGAATGATGAAGAAGCTGTGTTCTGATGGAGAAAAATACCTAGCCAGGCAGAAACAAGGAGGAAATGTGTTCCATGTGTCCATAACCTAGAAGATAGAAATAATATGGAATAATTGAGGGGAATTTGTATGAAGTTTGGTGTGACAGGAGTATGCACTATGATATTATAGAATCTCTACAGTTGAAGCTAAATATGTGGGTAGGGACTTTGCTGGGTTCTGGAATGGTCTCAGCAGGGACATCACACACTTGGAGGTCTGCTTTGGGATCCATCTTGTATGGAGGATGGGTTGGGAGAAGGAGGAAAACCAGAGGCAGGAAGATCCATCAATTAAGAACTTAAGGCATTAATCAGAATCTCTTGCAAAAGCATGTGACAGGTGCCTAATGGCGCAGTCAATACCACATTTGATGACCACACTCTAAAGAAACCCATTCTCCTCTTCCTTACAGTGAATTCACATTGCTTGGTGGGAAAAAAAAGATTTGAGCAAGCCAGCCATGGTTGTACATGCCTATAATCCCAGCTCTTGGGAGGCTGAGGCAGGAGGATCACTGTGAGTTTGAGGCCACCTTGGGTTCCATAGTGTGTTCAAGACCAGCCTGGACTACATAGTAAGACCCTGCCTCAAAATTTAAAAAAAAAAAAAAAAAAGGAATTGAGCAAATAGATGGATGGGATGGATAGAATGGAGGGGTTTACAAGAAATCTTCTGTAGCCCACCTGCAAAACCTCAGCTCAGGTCTCATTGCCAGGAGTAAGTAGAATGGCTTCAACATTCTTAAAACTTTCCCTTGATGTTGGATTCTAATGATTCTTACATAATTTTTCTTTTAATTCTAGAAGTGAAGCCATCTGTTACTCTACCAACAGAAATGCCACCAAGCATCTCCAGTTCCCAACAATTCCAGCTGAATTTCACCATCACCAACCTACCCTATTCCCAGAATGTATCCCGGCCAGACTCTGCCCAGTATCAGCGTAACAAGAGAAGTATTGAGAGTGCGGTGAGTATGGGGATTGTCATCCTGTTTCCAGGCAGAGGCTGACCTGGGAACACTGGGTGGTCGGAGGAAGACTTCTTACAACAGTTCTTGAAGAGATTTTTTTAAATTAGCACACATTAGTAATACATAGTATACATGCATCACTACAGTATGCTGTGGAGACAGACACTTCTTCCCATCCTGCAAATTAAGAAACAGGTACAGAGAAGTTCAGTAGAGTCCCGCTGTATCACACCTTGGAACAGAACATACACCTGAGAGAGTGTTTGTAAAAGGAAAAGAAAAGATAGGAATATGTGGTCAGGGACTGTAAATTCTCCTAGATGCTAGACTTGGGATTTAACCTGAAAATGATTGTCCTTCCAGCTTAACCAGCTTTTCCGAAACAGCAGCATCAAGAGCTATTTTTCAGACTGTCAAGTTTCAGCATTCAGGTGAGTTCCAGCTCATGACCTAATGACTCTAGGAGCTTCTGCTGTACCATGAAAGTGTCCCTTGCCATAGTATTTCAGTTCCTAGCTGTTATGGAAGACACCACTGGGATACAGAGCTGTTACCTGAAAACAAGCTTCTTCCTAAACTGGTTAGTTCAGCTGGCTTAGAAACTCAAGGGATCTTATATATCCTCGAGGACGTGGAGGTGTGCAATGCTGGGAGCCATTGAGTGTAGAACTCTTGTCAAGAAATCAGCTACTGGGGTAAATATATGAATGTGCTGAAATTAACAACATCAAACTAGTTACCTTTTTCTTACTTTGACTTGGAGTTAGGAAAAAAACATAAACACTTGGACTTGTGCTCACCAAGAAGGAGGGAAACTTTCCAGAACCATCATAAAAGATGTAAGACAAATATATGATGAATGTTTTAATAAATTTAAAAATTACAGTGAAAGACACACTGCTATTCATCCCTATCAAAATATTCCCCCTCATTTTGAATATATTTATCCCATCATTCTTGCCACTTTCTGAAGCAGTTCTGGAAGTCATCTCTCATGAGTGTCTTTACAACATGTAATCAAAAACACAGTAAATGCTGCTATTGAGTTTTTTCCAATAAAAAGGCAGCCGTGTAGGAACATTATGATGTCTCCTCATACTTTATTCACTAGATGTGGCAGTATGCAACTCTGGCTCTTAGCCAAAGCTAAAATGATGGCGAAAGGTAAATGTTTTGAATCAATTCAGGATATAGAGGCAGCCAGGACAGTGTAACTAAAGAGACACTAACGAAAGAGGACTTAAGGAAGTGGCAAAAATAATGGGATAAATGAGGGGGAGTATTTTGAAGGGGATTAATGGCTATGTGTCCTTTACTGTAATATATTTTTTTAAAAAATTAAACATTCACCATATTTTTAGATTACGCTTTATATGTCCAAAAGTATTGTCCATTCATCAGATAAAATAAAGTACCTTCAAAATGGCAGCATCTCACAAGAAAAGCAATGCAGCAGCCCACAGGTGATCTAAATCCCAAGTGATTTTTGTCACTAGCTATTGACTGTATCTCCCCTGAAATTAGATCTCCAAGTTTCTAAATTAATGGTTAAATGGATCTTTTTGTCATACTGTTGCAGGATTTGCAAGGGGAACAGTTTAATACAGGACACATAATTTATAGGATTATTTTATAATAGTCACCCAAAGAGTTTAGTACAAAAGAGTGCAGAAAATCTGTTCACACATTAAAGACCCAAAGAATCCAGCTGAGGGTCTGGATCCCACGGCAATGTCCTGCATGAGTCCAGCTAAAGACCTAGAGCCCATAAGAATGCCTCCCATGAGTCCAACTGGAGGCCAAGAGCCCATGACAGTGTCTCGTGCAAGCCTATTTCATGGATCTGCTGGGAAGGTCCAAGGATCAGTGGTGGAAGCTAGAAAGTCTGTGCCAGCAGGATGAAGGATCTGTGCCAGCAGGCTCAGGGAATCTACACTGAAGCTAGGAAGCGATTCTCAAAGTAAGGACCAGAGCTCTCCCAAAAGTATCACAGCCATCCTCAGTGACAGTGAGGTCCTAAACTCCTCCAGTGGTGAGACTAGCCAAGTCCATACCAGGAAAGCCAGTGTGACAAGCTTCTCCAGGACTCTGAACAGTGCACCATCTTCCCCCCTGGAGCCAGGAAGCAATGCTCACAGTAAGGGCCAGAGCTCCCCCAAAGTGAACCGTAGCCATTCTCAGTGACAACAAGGTTCCAAGCTCATCAATGATGAGAATAGCCAAATTCTTATCAGGAAAGCCAGCATGACAAGCTCCTCCAGGAGAACCAACAGCCCCCTAACAGCACCTCTCCTTCTTCTCCAGTTCTCCTTTTTATTTTGTTGGCAACAATCCTCAGGTTGTCCTCCCACATCCAAGATCACACTGATTCAGTTCAGCTGGGCGTTGCAAGTTGACCAGTTGTCAATCCACCATACATATCCTTGTCTCTTGTGAATTATTAAATTATCTGTCCTGTTTGCTAAATTTCTGATTGTGTAAAAGCGAATAAAAATGATCTGGAGTCTTTAAAAGTTTAACCAGCTAAATGGTCCAAGAACACTGGAAATTTTTAGGCTAGAAAAAGAAATACTTATTTAGTGTCAGTTAATGGTGCTCTGAAAAAGTAGTAGTCCTTAACCCTCACTGCACATCACCCTCGCTCAAAGAGCTTTTTAAAATGTTCATACTTGGATCACATCAAATATTCTTATTTAATCTATTTTGGGATGAAGCCTAAGCAAAGATACTTTGTAAAAATTTTCCCAAGCAGTTCTGTGCTGGGGCCAGGCTAAGATCTTCTCTTTCAAGTAGAAAGATGCAGATAAGATATATAGATTGCGATAGAAAACAAAATCAACTACTAAAGGCAGGACCATGGAAGATGGAAGGCTGGAGCCAGATGACACAGAATCCACACTCTACCTGTGCTGTCCAGTAGGCTAACCATTAGGCACATGAAGCAATTTAAATTTTTATAGAGCTTTTGAGTATAATTCACACACCATACAATTCTTTCTTTGAAGTATCTAACTTAGTGGTATACTTATAGAGTAGTACAACCATCCCCACTGGTTAATTTTTACCACCTGCTAAAGAAACCCATTACCTGTTAGCAGTCAATCTCTTCTCCTAAGTCCCTGACAACCCCTAATCTACTTTCTGTCTCTCTGGATTTGCCTACTCAGAGCATTTTAGGTAAGGGGGATCGTATTATAACTCTATTTGCCTGGCTTCTTTCATTGAGCATATTGTTTTCAAGATTCATTCACATTTCAGCATCCATTGATATTTCATTCCTTTTTAAGGCCAAAAAAATGTTTTATTGTGTGGCTGTAACACCATTTATTATATATCTGCCAATAGACATTTAGATCTCCTCTGTTTGGCTAGGATGAACAATGCAGCTGTGATCATTCCTGAATAGTTTTTGGAGCCAACTTATGTTTTTAATTATTTGGGGCACCCCGTGGTATGTGGTATTGTGGTTTTATATGATAACTCTGCACTTCATTCTTGAGGAGCTACCAAGCTCTTTTCCGTGGAGGCCATGAACTTTCTATCTTCGCCAGCAATCTCTCAGAGCTCCTTTCACATTCTCCACTCACTGACTCACTCTTGTCCCCTTTGTAAATAATCATCTGGATAGATGTGAAGTGATCTCACACTAGCCTGCTTATTTTCACAGCTGCTGAGGTTCTGAAATTGCTGGTTTTCGTAACTACTGAGCATCTTGGGAGAACAGTACAGAAACAATGCAAGTTCAGATGCAACAAAGCTTGTTCTCTTCACCAAGATTCAACTACTATTCTTAACTAAACCTTTTGTAGACGTTGCAAGCCGTTGGTTCATTTCTGGGCTTCTAAACAGCAGTTGATTTTGGCCATTTTGCCAGTGTTCTTTTGGTTTTATGGAGTTTCCATAAGTCCATTGTCCAACATTCCAGAAATGCTCTTCCTGTGGCTGTGTTTACATTTGTTAAAATTAAATTTAATTGGTCTCTCCATTCCTCACTCATCCTAGTTACCGTTTAAGAGCTCAATCCCAACACAGGGCTAATAGTTATTGTACTGCAGACACGCAGTAAATTTCCTTCAGACACTAAGTGTTTACATCATTGCCCCGAGTTCTCCTGGTCAGAACCTGGCAGCAGGGAGTCTGGAATCAGTCTGGAGTTTCAGATGAGTTTGCTCTTCCTTTGTGTCCTTGCAGGCCTGTCTCCCACATCAACCACACTGGGGTTGACTCTGTATGCAACTTCTCACCCTTTGCTCGGAGGCTGGACAGAGTTGCCATCTATGAGGAGTTCCTGCGGTTGACCCAGAATGGTACCCAGTTGCAGAACTTCACTCTAGACAAGAACAGTGTCCTTGTGGATGGTAAGACTTCCTGGGCTTTGGAGCTGGAACAAGGTCTCCACATTCCTTACTAGAGACACCAGGGAATCTCAAGCCCTAGGCCTGAGGCCTGAGTATTGAACTTCCTCAGATGTGTACTGGGTAACAAGGCTTTCCTCGCCATCAAGGGATTAAAAAAAAGATCCCCTGTGTGACACAGGAGGCATTCATCCTCTCCTGGAAAGCTCTGCAACCTGACTAGTTACTTTCCTGTCTGGATTTTTTTCCTTATATCTTACTGCCAGCCACTTATTTGGTAAGACAGTCAATGAAAGCCTCCAGCTCCAACTTGTATATGACCCAGTCTCAATAAACATAACAGGATGGACCTGTTTTCTGACATCAGAGGTGCCTCCAAGACAGCTGAACCATACATATCCAAATGTACTAATTCAAACACGGTTGTACACCTTGTATTGCGTGCCAGCAATATCGCTGGTCAGGGTGGCTTTGCGTCCTGGCTCACCTAATATTCCAAGCACTCTAAATTCTCCCTGGCACACAGTAAATATTCAACATATTTATAGAAAGAGTAGCTAAACCTCATAGGAGGTTTAGGCCCAGTGTGCATAACCCCAGGGGACCACTGCAGTGCTTCATGTGTGCTCTCCTTGGTTCTGAAATACAGTCCTACAAGAGAACACTTGATTTTTTATGACAGAAATCAGCAAACTTTTTCTATAAATGATTTGATAATAAGTAAATGTCAACCTTTGTGGGATCTATATGACCTTTTTTGTGATTTCCCATGCATTATACTACTACCATGACATGATTCAGTCCAATTTAGTTTTTCACACCTAGAGATATGGATTTCATTTATTATGTTCTGGTGGTATGGTAATGGTCCCATGATTATATAACAAAATGTGCATTTCTTGAGATGCAAACTGTTCAGGGCAAAATACTGTGATTATATCTGATTTTAAATTTTCAGTGAAAATATTGGATGGAGCAAGTGGGGGAAATGTCACTCATTCATAAATCGGATGAAATATTGTTTAAATTGAATGAAACGTGAATGGTTACATATAAGTGATGAATGCTTATTTTACTGCTCTCATCTTTTCCATGTGTTTGGAATATTTTATTAAATGTGTGAGGGTGTAGCTCGTGAGCTCAGAGCACATGCCTAGCATGCTCAAGACCCTGGACTCAATCCTCAGTACCACCAAAGAGGAAAAAAAAGAGTAAATCATACTCACACCTTTTCCATTTCATTCATTTCAGGATACTCTCCCATCAAAAATGATGGTGTGACTAGAAATTCCGGTAAGCCTCAAAAAAGACCCTACCAAGGGCAGGGTGGAGACAACCTGATGCTGTGTGTCCTCAAAGAGAACCATACAGGGGGTTTTGGATCACAGTGAAAGTCCACCAGCCCTGGCCAAGACTGTTGAAACACAGCGGGAAGAAGTAGGCCTATAGGGGGGCCTACGTTTGAAAGAGTATTTCAGAGCTATGAGGCGTTGAGCGGCCAAGCTCCCTTCTCCAGAGCTAGGTTCATCCTCAGGCCACACAAGGTCCAAGCAAGAGCCCTGGGATGTGGCAAGATGCGGTTCAACTCAGGGTTTGTCTCCCCAGACCTGCCCTTCTGGGCCATCATCCTCATCTGCTTGGCGGGACTCCTGGCATTCATCACATGCCTGCTCTGCTGTTATCTGGTGAGCTTGGTTGCTTGTCTTCTTACTCTTGGGATGTAGGAATCCTTAATACAGTCACACACCATATAATGATGCTTTGGCCAGGTCATAGGTGATATAGTCTATGGTCATAGGTCTCATAAGACTACCGCCTACTGATATCATAGCCATCTTAGTTTCCGTACGTCCACTCTATGATGTTTGTACAATAACAGAATCGCCATAACTATGCATTTCTCAAACATAGCCCCATCAATAACGAACACATGTCCGTGCACCGTAAATACAAGTCTTTTTCTGAGTATGTTTTGCAAAACTTTTTCTCCTAGATTGTGTGTGCCTGGCCTTATTTTTTTCAATTTTATTTTTCATTAACAAATAAGACGTGTATACGTGCATGGGCTACAAAGTGATGCTTTGATAGACACATACGTAAATAAATCAGGTTAATTATCAAATCCATATTTTTGTGGTATGAACATTTGAAATCTACCCTCAGCACTTTTGAAATACACATCACGTCATTATCGACTACAGTCAGGCTGTTGTGCAATAGATTGCAAAACCTTAACAACATCAGTCATTAGGAAGGTGGACACGGAAGTGACAAGGCGATGCCACTGTACAGAACGACAAACACTTAAAACGCTGATTCTAACAAGTTTTGGTAAAGACGTGGAGTAACAGGAACTCTTGTGAGGAGCTAGCTCAACTTAGCCTGGTCGGTTCCTTGAGAGTTATGCACACTTGCTATGGGACCCAACCTTCCACTCCCAGTATAAGAGAGAGAAAAGCATATATCCAAGAAGAGGCTTGTACACAAATGTGGATAACAGATTTGTTGAAACAGCCCCAAACTGAAAACAGCCCCCGTGTCCATCAACAGATATATCCCAACACTGGAATATGCTATCTAGAAATAAGCAAGGAAAAAATTATTAATACACGTGCTATGCACAAGTTGCAAAATAATTATGCTGAGTAAAAGAGGCCAGTCAAAGAAAAACTGGCAAGCTCTGTGATTTATTTGCAAACTGCACAAAACATAAACTAATCTGTTAATGATGTAAATCAGATCAGCAGTTGCCTGGGAATGGAAATGTGTATGCCAATGGCAGAAAAGGACTATAAAGAAGTGAAAGTAAACTTTTAGGAATGATTACTGGGTTTTCCTTACCTTTTAGTAGTGATGGCTCAGGAAGCTGTAATCAAAACTTATCAGTTCATTTTAAATGTGTGCAACTGATTGTGTATCAGTTATGACTGCTATTAGGTGTACAATCAGTTATTGTATATCAGTTATGGTTAAATTGGAGTAGCGTGGGGAAGGCAGGGAGGGAGGAAGGTAAAGAGGGAGAGAGACAATGATAGATAAAAGAGGTGATAAATAGAAGATAGTTACTAGAGAGCCGGGCATGGTGGCACACACCTGTAATTCCAGCATTTGGGAGGCTGAGACAGGAGAATTGCTGCAAGTTCGAGGCCAACCTGAGCTATATAGTGAGTTCAAGTCCAGCCTGGACTGCATAATGAGATCCTGTCAAACAAAACAAATACACAAAAACAACAAAAATAGAAAATGGATACTAGCTAGATAGAGATGATTGCTTGATAATATATGATTGTTTAATAAAGAGCAGATATTAATAGATGATAGGAAGATGATATATTAATAATTGATATATAGATGACAATCTATTGATAGCTGACTGATGGATAGACATATAAGTGATAGATGATAGGAAACTTTATAAGGGCATCTAATTTTTTTGAGTTCTTTATATATTCTAGATATTGGTAAAGATGGGTGATAGGTGATTCATAGAAATATAGGTATTAATAAAGAAACTGTGGGAGAGAGAGAAATGAAGAGGATATCAGAGGATAGTTTCTAAAACTCAGAGTGAGAGGGAAGGAGAACTGAGGGACAAAACCAAGTAGAGAGGAGGAGGAAGAGCGACCTGGGCAACTTCAGGCCCTTGGCTTGTCCACATTCTCACCCTGTGGTCTCCGCTACCCGGGCAGCTGACCAGTCCATTCTGATGCCTTCTCTACCTTTACAGGTGGCCATCTGCCGGCGGAAGAAGGAGGGAGACTACCAGGTCCAGCGCCACCGCCTGGGCTATTACTTCCCACACTTGGACCTGAGGAAGCTACAATGACCCCGTCAGCTGGGGAGTTCCTTTGTCCCACCCTGGGTCCAAAGAGGAAATAAACCACATTGGTCAGACTGACACAGCCTATGGGCCTTGCTTGACTTTGTCCCGGACTGGTTCCCAGGGGACAAAGTGAGATATCCTCCTCCTTTGTTAAGTCCCAAGGGCAACAGTTAGATGTGTCTTGGGGTTTCATGCTATGCCATCCCTCAGGGACAGCAGAATTGGAAATTGCCATTATACAAAATCAATATCGTGCTTATATGTGAGATTTCCCTCCTAGTCACCCCCACCTACCTGTCCTTGACTTACTGCAGCCATTACACGGATCTGTTTCACCAGCCCTGGCTGTCTCAAGCTTTCTCTTACCCTCTTTCATTCCCTGAGCTCACCTTTACCAAGACTTTCAGGTGAATCCTTTCCTTACCCACCATGTGATTCCTGAAAGATGGGAAATAAGACAAGTCAAAAATGACTCCACAACCAACCTTGGGACTTGGGAGATGAAATGACCAAAGACCCAGAAAACTTGAGTCTGGGCTAATCCTGCCTAAAGATGTCTGTTTTGGAGTTAAGATGAATAAAACTTGAAGGGGGATCATGTAAGGGAAAAGCAAGATTATCTTTCTTACATGTTTCCCTGCAATGAATCCAAGTAGACAATTACAGCCAAGCATCCCAGGCGCGAGGCCAGCTGCGCTGTCTTGCTTTGTATCTGCTGGAATCAGTGGCATGATCTATCCATTCTGTAGACCACCATGAGGGCGGGTACTCAATTCTCACCCAGGGCTAGAATCAAAATTGGAGTAATGCCATCCTGTCACACTTTCTTGATGTGTACTTTGCTCTCTTACTCTTAAGCAGTCTGTCTCTGAGAATGCGCTCTGGAGATGATAGTAAAGGCAGTAATAACTCATTAATTAATGACAGCCATGTATTGATTAACAACAATGCATTCAAAGAGATGGATCATCTAATCCTATGGGGCTGTAACTGTGCATGTGGTGCGTGGTTGATGGAAATGGTATTGTGTAGCACAGGACTGTGCTTAATGTCTGCTAAGCACTATGGCTGGAAAGTTCTGCATGCAGTAACTCTGCTCTGCTCTCTGTTTGCTGTAGTCTGAACATTTTCCCTCCAAAATGTGTATGTTGCAGACTTAATCCCCAAAGCAACAACAGTGGGAGGTGGGGGGGTGTAATGTGAAGCATTTAGGTAGTGAAGCATCTGTCCTAATGAGTGGACTACTGCTGCTATCAAAAGGGGCCGGTGGCCATGGGTTTTCTCCCTTCTTTTCTTCCCTACCAGGATTCAGCATGTTTCCTCTTTTGCCCTTCCACCTTCTACAACTGGAGGATTAAGCAAGAAGCAAGAAAGCCCTCATTAGAAGCCGGCACCTTGACCTTGACATTCCTAGCTTTCAAAACTGTGACAATAAATTTTTTTCTTTATACGTTGTGTGATCTGTAGAATTCTGTTACAGCAACACAAAATGGACTAAAACCCCCACCCCTGAGGGTTTTACTCCACCTTAATAACTAAAGGGGCAGAGCCTAGAAAAGAAAATCACTGGCAGGGTATACTGCATTTCGTGCAGGTGCATTTTCTCTATCCGTTCACCTGCTGATGGGCATATAAGGCTGCTTCAAAGAGTTCGCTGTTATGAATTGTGCTGCTATAAATGGGTGTGCGTGGGCTACTGTAATATGATATGTCTGACTCTTTTGGGGAGATACCCAGAACGGAAATAGCTGGAAAGGGATAAATTTGAGTCATTTGTAGGAAAATGGATGCACTTTGAGACCATAATGTTTAGTGAAGCATATTAGACACACAAGCTTAAATACCGCATATTCATCTCAAAGGATATTTAAAATATAAGTAAAGAGCAAAGTAGAAAATAGATAATAGGAAGTTGGGAGACAGATCTTTCTCAAATGGGAAGGAGACCAAGAGATGGAAGAAGAGTGGAGGAAGGAGAAGGGAAGGAAAAGAAAAAAGAAATAAGATGTGTTGTGTACCTGTACAGACACCCACAAGGAATGTAAACATGCACTGCAAGTGTGTACTAATAAAGCTAAAAGAGGGGCTGGGGATTTAGCTCAGTGGCATAGTGCCTGCCTGGCAAGCACAAGGTCATGAGTTCGATTCCCGGTACTGGAAAAAAAAAAGCTAAAAGAAATAGAAGATAATTGGACAAGGGAGGAAAAAGTTACATAGAACCTCAATTATGAACTACCGTTCCAAACTATCAATGAGTAAAAGACATTTCCAGACATAGAGACCAACTCAGAGTCGACCTCCTGCTGGCCTTCAGCGAAAGAAGTGGTAAAGAATGTACATTAGGAAGAACTGTGAACCCTGAAAACCATGATGGAATGAGGAAACTTGGGTAATGAAGAAAAAGTAATGCATCTACAGTATGAGTTTTCAAACAAGTCATTAAAATGTTTTTTAAAATTTTTGATTAGTACTGTACATGATTGCAGTTCATAGTGTTCATACTTACTGTGAGGCGTTTGTACATATACATAACTCATCTAAATTCTTATTTTTGTCCCCTTCCCCTCCCATTCCTCCCCGCTACCTGCAATTCTTTTTTTTCCTTCCCATTTGCAAATGCTCCATTTCCATTTTCTCTTCAATTCTCTTTTTTTAAAATCCCTTTTCCCTCCCTTCTCTCCCACCTCCCTGCCTCTCTCATTCGGTCTCATTTGGAAAAGGTCTTCCTACTCACCTTTCATTTTGCTCTCTACTTATACTTTGGGCTTTTCATGTAAGAGAAATCATGCAGTGTTTAAACTTGTGTGTCTGATTTATTTCACTTAACATTATGGTCTGGAGGGGCATCCACTGAAATAAATTTTAATAAAATTCCACATGATTACCAAATACAAGCAGAGAGGATAGATACAATTTTAAGATAATTCATTTCAGGGAAGATATAAACAGTGTAGGTATTCTACTTTTTAACATATTGCCCTCAGAACCTGGCAAGTCCAGCAAGCAAAAGTAAGCAATTATAAAGAGAATTCAAATTTTATAGCAACTTCAGGGATCAGGAAAATAGACAAATAGATTTAAATTCCTAAATTCCAACAAATGGTTTCCTACTACTAGGTTAATAATGCTGAAAAACATCTATATGTCATCATCCCCCAAATGTCAACTTAATATTCGTGAAGAAAATTTCAAACACATACAGATCAAGAAAATTAGAGAAAATTTAGTGTTTCACTATATCTTGGTTACTTTTGTCTTTTTGAGACAGGGTCTCATGCTACAGTTCAGGCTGGCCTTGAATTCATTTCTCAAATTCTCAGTTTTCTCTCATTGTTGAGACAAAATACCTGACACCCAAAATTAAGGAAGGAAAGGTTTATTTAGCTCACAGTCTGTAGAGGTTTCGGTCCATACTCGGCTGGTTCCAAGGTAGAGTGGCACATGGCAGAGAACAACTGTTCATGGCGGTGGAATATAGAAAAAGCAGCAAGAGCAAAAGGGAGGAATGGTAGCAAGCAGCCTCTTTCCCTCCCTTACATGTGCAAACTATCTGCCTCAGGGCAGATACAGCACTCACACCCATAATCCCAGTATTGGATCATGGCTCAATCATAAACTCTAAAGGCCCACCCATGACTGCATGAGGCTTTGGGGGGACGTCCAGACACAAACCATAACACACTATAAACAACTATTAGCTAACAGGCAATAAGGAAGAGATAAATAATGATAGGCACATATCTTATTGGAGGACACAGTCATAAAAACCCTGAAATGAAATTTTATTTTGGAATCTCCTGAAACTTTACACAGAAATAATAATCCATTTCAACTATGTCAATTTTATTTTATTGGCAAATGTGCTGAATAATTTCACAACTTTGCCAACTCCCTACCGACTGTAAAATAACTGAAATACGTCTGACCAAGCAAGAAAAACACTGCAAGATACCACACGTGTGTTGGAATCTCTAAAAAGTCAGGTACACTGAAACAGAAAGAATGGTCATTAACAGGGTGGGGCGGAGCAGGGAGATGCCGGTTAAAGGGTACAAACTTGAAGTGACACAGACTGAAGAACTTTAGCCATCTAATGGGGGACATGTGGGGGATGAGGGTTATAGCCAATGCTATTACACTGTATAATGGAAATCTGCCGTGAGACTAGATTTTAGGCGCTCTTATTACACACAAAATCGTAACTGTGAACCAATGGATGTTAATTTGCTTGTCAGAGATAATCGTATCAATATATAGCAAAACTTAATGCCGTATACATGACTATATACAATAACACTATGTGGTCCTGGGACTCAAACCACCACCTTGCACCAGTCAAGCAGTCTGCCACTAAGCACATCCCTAGCCCCACATAGTGTTTTAAAAATAAAATAAAATGGACCGCAAATAAATCTCAAGTGAAAATGGAAGTGTACCAAAAAAGAAAAAACTTTTTCTCCTCACCTGAAATCCAATGTCCCACTTTGAAAAGAAATGCTGGCGGGTTGTGGTGAGTGGTGGCACACGCCCATAACCCCAGCACTTGGGAGGCTGAGACAGGAGGATCAATCTGGGCTTCAGAGTGAGTTCAAAGCCAGTCGGAACTACATAGTGAGACCCCCATCTCAAAAAAAAATAAATAAAATAAACAGACATATTCTCAGAATGTAGCAGGAGTTTAATAAACAGAAGTATTAATGTATGTTACAGTCCTAAGAGATCAAAGGCAAAAATGAAAGCTATGATCACTGCAAAGTGGTGCTAAAATACGATCATGTCCCATTTCTTCTTCAGTATCTTCTTTTTCATGGTGTTTATCAGGACACCTTCTGTGGTTCCTTTGCTCTCTCTGACTCACTAGCCAGTCTGTGTGTGATCAACGCTGTTGCCAATCTTTCTCTTGCTGTCTCCACTTTTCTTTCCTGTTTCTTAATATCTTCCTCTGTGACCAGAAACTGTTTGCCGAGGAGCTGGGGCATACCCAAACCCATTTCTGGAGTCATCTCCACCACATGAGTAGACGGGGCAAGGACGGGCAGAGAGCTGGAGCACACACCGCCAGCCAGAGTCTCTAACAGGGATGAACTTGTACAGCAACTAGGTGCAAGTGTGTGCAAAGTTTTAGCAAGGTCTAAAGTACTTAGAAGTTCCCCCACGCTGCTGGAGGCCTGGAGTCCTTGCAGTCTCTTATGCAAGCAGACCTGTTGGGGCTTATCTAAGCTTTCCTCCCACTGGTGATACCTGACCTCATTGTCCGGATGAGAGGTGATTCTAGTAACTGGTCTCTTGAAAGTGTAACTGGACATTCTCAAGGGGATCGAGATGCTTAAACCAGACTTTGGCTTCAAGGGGTTTTCGTAGTCACGTTGCTTCCTCTGCAGAGTCTTGGGCATCACACCTTTTTCCTCTCACCCTATTGAACAGGAATGGTGAAGTTGGGTCAGCGTTTCCAAAGAAGCCTGTCTTCTTTCACTTTCTGTGACAATTATCAGAGGTAAGTATCTTTGCTGTTTCCAACTCCCATCCTTCTTCTCCTCCCCAGGGACCAAATCTGACCAGCATCTTGGGACATCAAAAAAGCAAATCTAAGTCAAGCTCAGACAACTCAAGGTCCAAATGTTCCTGTGTCATCTTTTTTTTTTTTGGTACCAGAAATCAAACTCGGGACCTTGCTCTTACCAGGCAGGAGCTGTGCCGCTGAGCTATATCTCAAGTTCCTCTGTTACCTTGCAACATAGTCTCCTTTTATTCTTTTATTTTCCCCTTTGCCCCTATCAATCTAAACTATGTGAAACCTGGGCCTGTCTCTCATGACATATGGTTTCCAGTCTTCTCGTTCCCAACTCTGCCCTTCTGCTATTTGACTATTCTGTCAGCCCATGGTCCTTTTGGTTTTCACAGCTCCTTTAGCACATTAAGTCAAAGGTGAAAAAATCAACTACCCTACCCTTAGAGACTGACTCCCAGACCCCTGGCATTTAATCAACCCAATGGTCATGTGCAAAACTAAATAATTTAGAAGACATAATCACCAACCACAAATTTCTGATTTCCAACTTTTTCATGCAAGCACCCATAAAATAGATAACTGTCCTTAAAAACAAGAGCTACTCCCAACTATGTATTTTCATCTTACTCTTTCTTTTTTAAATTCATGCATATTAATTGTGCATACAGTATTTATGTGGTACATCATGAAGTTTGGTATACAACATGCATTTAGCAATGACTAAATCAGGGTAATCAGCATTCTCACCTCTTTTGTCATTTATCACTCCTTCATGATAGGAAGTGATAACATTCCTCTCCATGTGCCTTGCTTCTAGGTTTTTTATGGGACTGGGAATTGAGACAGGGCTTCTCTGTGGAGCTCTGGCTGGCCTCAAATTCACAGTCCTCCTGCCTCAGCCTCCCAAGCACTGGGATTACTGGCATGTACTACCAAGCATCACACTCAATTCTTCTTAGTTGTTTATAAAATATTTAATAAATTATTGTAAATTGTAGTCACACTGCTGTGCTATAGAAAACTAGAACTCAGTCTTACTAACGAAGGGAAGAAAGGGTAGATGTTGACAAACTTACTAAATGTGTAACAGGAAATCTCTTAACAAGAAAGTCTACATACATTCCATCTTACTCTTCCCAAATATCCCACTGACCCTTAAATATTAAAGACAGTTAACATTGAAATCAATGAAACACACATCTAGAAACAAAACAGAAGACAAGAATGGTTAAGGGAATTTTTAATGGAAAGAAATGACAGCCTTCTGCTGGGTCCTGACTGTAATCTTAACTTGACCATGCTTGCTCTACTCAAGGTTGTGGGCTCAAGTGAAACCCACAGTTGTGGCATTTTGTTTCCACTTTATTAGCAGTGTAGACTATGTCTATGTTTTGGACAAAATAAATTATTCAGGTAACAAACCATTTCATCAATAACAGTACATTTCCAGGAAGACTATTAGACAAGGGGAAAGGGATTGGCGGGGAGGAAAAGGAAGGGAGAGGAACAGGAGCTTCGATATGGTCAAAGCATGTTACATGCATGCATGAAACTGGGACCAGGTGTGCTGATGCACTCCTGTAACCCCTGCACTCTAAGAGGCTGAGGCAGGAGGATCACAAGTTAGAGCCCAGCCTGGGCAACTTAGCAAATTGTGAAAGAAATTCTGTCTCAAAATAAAAAGTTTTTTAAATGGCTGGAGGTATAGTTCAGTGAGAAGGCCCTGAGTTCAATCCCCAGTAATGTAAAGAAAGAAAAAGAAAACAAAATGCCATCACCAAACCAATATTCTGTATAATTAATAGGCATCATTAAATACATGTATGTAATGTATGATCAGAAATGATGACTGTTCAACAATAAAAATAATTCATTACAATAGGAGACTCACGACTATTAGTCACCCTCAAAATTCCCTCCCTCACTTCCAACACATTTCTCCCATCATTTTTGCCCCATTCTGACAGAGTTCAGGAAATTTTTGTGAGTGTCTTCTCACAGCTGCCTAGATGTCCTTAATGCATTGGAAGTATTTATGGAAATTTACTCCAAATAAAAACATCATAGAGCACCCTCACCCACCTTATTCACTAGATCTGGCTCCATGTAACTTCTGGCTTTTTTCCAGTGGCAAAACGACCATGAAAGGTAAATATTTTGAATTGATTCAGGCATCCACAATGATGCGACTAAGGACACTCATGAAAGAACATTTCCAGAACTGCTTCAGAAAGTGGCAAGAATAATGGGACAAGTGTCTTTGAAGTGAGGGGAAATATTTTGAAGTAGATAAATGATACCATACTTTTTATTATAACACATTTTAATGTAAGTATTCACAGCCTAGCTTATATATAACTTATCCCCATGTATAAATATTTTGCTACCTGTTATGTAACCTCCTTCTCCCTTATTCCTATAAGTCTTGGACTCTATACTCTGTGGCCTCTGTAATTCCCTTGGAATAATTCAAAATTCCTTACCACTCATCTTACCTGCCTTGTAAAACTTCAAACCTGGAAAATTGCTATTCTCTGCCACTTCATAGTTACTGCCAGTTTTTTGGCAATTGCTGGAGAAAAAGCACACCACACGACATTTTGGTACTGATATAAAATAAAATATTCAGCATCAACTGGGAAAGATGTATAATACATGGAAATGTCACTTTCTTTTTATGTGTTCGCGTATTGGTTCTTCAAGTTTTCCCTGAAGACTTTTTCAAAAGTTCTCATTTCTTTTTTGTTCATATATACTTGAGTTTCCGTAAAACTGGCCTGATATTTCACAGGAAAATGGTAAACTACTAGATTGAAATTTTAGGGGTCTAGCTGTCAAATCTGCAAGCTTCCACTGTTGTAAAATTTCCTCTAATTATATTGAAAAATATTTAGTTTATCTTCCAATCAGAGGCTCATTCTTTTCTTCCTTAGTAATTATACCTCCAGTATCCCAGTACAGTCCCTATATCTTTGATGACTCTTTTTCCATTAAATCCTTCATTCGGCATTTAAATATGTTTAAATTTTTCTCAACTACCCAGAAACCTCTTGCCTAACCTCTCCTCAACCACCACTTTCTATTTCTTCCCCTTAGCATGAACCACTGAGAAAATACCCTGTATCGTATTTCTCTAACATCTTACCTCTAACAGACTCCCCAGTCCACTCCAAAGTTCTAGTTTCCTCGCATTCCACGGCTACTTCCCTGATAAGGTCACAATGGGCCTTTGTTATTAGACCCAATGGAACTTTTTATTATTCATCTAACATACTCTTCAGGTAAAAAAGAATCTCTTACATATATTTGGAACAACTTTAATACGTGAATATTACTTTACAGCTGGGAATCTTATAAAATCTCAGTAAAGGTAGGTCTATGAGATCAGATGCAACTGACAAATTCAAATGTCAGCAGTATCTGGAGAGTATAAACTAGACTTCTGAGTGCAGCAAAAAAGAAAAACAACGTAAATGAGTGTAGATAATGACAATGTACTGTATGTCTTTAAAAAGCAAGAGGATTTTTAGTTTGTTTTTTTTATTTTAGAAATAAAAGGAGGAAAATACTAACAGACAGACAACATTTTACAAAATAGCAAAAGAACAGTACAGACATTACAGAGTTACAAACAGAGTGGTAGG